CGCCACGTCAGCGCCCATGCGTACGTGGACTTGGCCCAGGCATGGCCAGAGGACTGCGCCGTCAAGGCGCCGGGCAGCACGCGCACCCTGATCATGGTGGGTGCAGGCCGCCTCGGCGTCGTGCGGGCAGCACGCGCAGGCGCAGCGAGGGGCGGGCGACGGCTGGAAAGGCTGGGGGGTTGGGTGCAGGGGCAGGAGGGAGGGAAAGGTGCAAAAGCTGCTGCGAACCCCCAAGTGACTGCAGCCCAACTCTCGCGCATCCCACTCACATCAACAGCCCAGCCAACCTCACGGCTTAAACAAGGTGCCACCTAACCGCTTTGGCAACCGCCATGCCGCGCCCCACCTGTCCCCTCCAGGCGTTTGAGAAGGTCCTGATGCAGCAGTACACCGGCGCCCTCAGGGCCCCGCCCCGCGCGCTGGCTCAGGCAGTGCTGAAGGCCCGGGAGGACCTCCTCTATGACTTGAGCCTCCAGGAGGCCGCGGCCGCAGACGCAGCCGCACGCGTGGCGGCGGCGGCGGTGAAGCCCAAGGCTTCGGCGGGCGGCTGGAGGCTGCAGGGCTGGAGGCGGCATCGGCGGCGGCGGCGGCGTGGTTGAGCGGGCATGGTGGGAGCTGTGCAGGGGTAGAGGGTGTCGCTGCAGACGGGAGTGGGGGTGCCCTGGCTGTGTGCAAACGAGGGGTCAGGTGCGTGGGCTTGGACACTTTGTTGACCGCGCTGTCTTGGTTTTGGCTGGTTGTTTCTGTTGCTTTGAATTATATTTATAGTACATTGGTTTATAAACCATGAATGCTGAGTGACAGCAGGGTACCGTGTTCAGCCCTCGATGCTGCAGGTGTCACTGAGAACACACTCCAATCTCCCGCTGCTGCGTTTTCAATGCTCGGCGAATTTTGACTTGTGCCGCCCGCAGAGGCACGACGAAAAGCACTTGAGAATTAAGTTGGATGGGTATTCATGTAAATTTGCGTGCCTCTACATGGCAAATCCCTGGCATTGGCATGCATCGTATGGGGCTTGCGGCTTGCGTACTGCTTGCTCAGCAGAGTGCACGCGTCAGCCTGAGCTGGTCTTCACTGCAGTCAACATGGGCGGAAGAGAGGGACGCATGGCTATTCAAATGTGGTGTAGGCATACAGTGCTCCTCTAGAGTCGCGTTTACGCTGCTGGGCGCTGCTGCAGCATCAAGTAGGGCCAGACGAGCTGCGAGCAGTGGGTGGCGACGATGATGGCCCCTCCACTGGATGCAAGCCGGCATGTGCACAGAAGCCTTCTATCAGACAAATGAGTTGTGGATAGTACCAGGGCCCGTTGGTCGACCAAGCTGAGACCGGCATGGCGCCCGCCCATCGCGGGAAGCTGCGGGCGCCGCATGGTTTCGAAGAGCGCGGTCTGCGAGTGATCTGGGCAGGCTGTGGACGCATTGACCTGAGGCTGGACGCAAAATACGCCAACTTATCTCAATCCCGTCACATTCTTTCGAAGTTGGGTGGGTCAAGAAACGCACTGCAGGGAAGGTGGACGGGTTTCCTGTGGCAGCTTTGACCGAGGTGCTCACTCGCACTAGAGGGCCAGATTCATCTATAATTTGCTTTCAGAGTCGATACAATTTCATAAACGGGCGTTTCCTTGGATCGCTCGTTACGTTTTGTCGCTTGTCAAATCCGGTCAACTTCGAAATCCCCACTTGCTCGCTCAACTGGCCCCGTGAGCCACGATTTGAGGTGAGTGTCTGAGTTTATTGAGTTTAGGTGTGACCTGAGCGCTTTTGCTGCTGTCACAGGCCACTTGGTCTCCCTACTGTTATCGCGCTGCTGCCGCTGCTGCTGCTGCTGCTGCTGCTGCTGCTGCTGCTGCTGCTGCTGCTGCTGCTGCTGCTGCTGCTGCTGCTGCTGCTGCTGCTGCTGCTGTGTGGATTGGGTTGCGTGAGCGCGCGAGTTCGCACTAGACCGCCTCCATGGTGGCGCAGAGCTGGCATTGGCCGCACCTACCGCGCTGGGCAAGCTCTCTCCAAGATCCATGAATCCAAATTGCGCAGCTAGGTTGAGCAGCGCGGCAGGTGCAGGAGTCACTGCGTGTGCGCGCACAGGGCAGTGCACGGCACCCTGCACTTGCTGCCCTCAAAAACGACACACATACCTTCTGGCACTAGCAGTCAGCTACCCGCCCATTTATCCATCCACCTGCCCGCCCGCCCTCATCCAATACAAGATTGACCGTTTGGCAAGCGACACTACTGAACACGTGGACACAGCCAACATGAGTGGCAGCCAGATGGAGCGGCACCCTTGGTGCTACTTCGGCTTGGCCCTACTGCTGACCCTCCTGCTGCTGAGCCCTGCTGCCTCCGAGGCCGAGTCAGACGCCCCAGGCAAGCCTGCCGTCCCCCTCCATGCTGCTCTCCTGTGTGCATGCGCAAGTGCATGCACTTTAACTTGCACACGGACTGCATGCGCCCGCCCAATACAAACATCTGGCCAACGTTCACGCGTGCACGCCCTCGCGCAGGCGCCAGCTGGAGTGCCCTGTCCAGCAACCTCAGGAAGACCCAGATACCGCTCGACGGCGTCGTGCGCCCGCGCTCCGCCACCACCCGCGCCATCCGCACCGAGACGAGCGCCGCCAAGACCAACTTCGAGGTCGTCTGGCTCCCCGCCGACGGGGACGCCCCCGAGGGCACGCGCCGCTACTGCCTGGGCATGTCCACCGCCAAGCGCGCGTGCGACCCTACTGCGTCGGTCTGCTGCGACACGTCCTCGCCCACGCCGCGCGTCGGCGTTGCGAAGGTGCAGCTCTTCCTGCCATCAGAATGCGCCGCCGGCTCCTCCAGCCTCAAGAAGGCGCTCAAGGGCTACACCTGGCGCGTCGGCGGCAGGAAGACGCGCGCCGTGATTGACGCGGCCGCCAAAGCGGTGCTGCTGTCGCGCGCGTGGTACGGCGAGACCGAGGTGTGCGTCGACATGCCAGATAGCGCGGTGGGGCCCTGCAAGTCACTGGCTGCTCTCTGCGGCCCCACCGGCTGCCGCGTCACCGCGGTGACCACGCGATTCAAGCAGGCCAGCGCGGCGTACCCCCACAAGCAGCGCTGCAAGATGGATTACACGCTTGCAGGTGCGCAGGCATTCCACACACGGGTGTGTGGGACACGCGCGTGTGCGGCATGCTTGCTGCGTCAGCGTTGGATTGCCCAGGTGCCTGCAGGGGTATGCGGGCCACAAGGGGATGTGCCCTGACATGCCCGTCCCCACGCGCCTGCTCGCTTTGTTGTTCACGTTTGCCCATATGCTCCTCCCCCTCCCCCTCCCCCTCCCCCTCCCCTTTCCCCCCAAACACACACACGCACATACACACTCACGCAGTCTGCGACCCGGCCTGTGCTGGCGCATGCATTGGCCAGAACATCTGTGACAGCAACGGGCCCGTCCCTGGTGAGGCGGGGCGTTGAGACATTGGGTAATACCTGTATGGTACAGCGTGTGTGCAGGATTGCTGCTGGCTTACATGTATGAGCATGTTGTTGCAACACTATTTTCAAATAACATCACGATTGACAATGTTTTGGGGCAAATTCCATGAAAGCACCAGGCCACGCAGCACGCCTCACACTGCACACCACATGCATTACAACCGTTGACTCATCGCCAGAGACTCCGGACAGCCCCGACTGCTCGCCCGCGTGCTCCAACGGGGCCACGTGCAGCGCAACCAACACGTGCACCTGCACGCAAGGCTGGAGCGGCGCCACTTGCGAGACCCCTGGTGAGAGGACAACGGGGATTAGAAGTGCAGAGGCGTCACAGGGCGCTGAGGGTGCAGGCCGCCCACCCGTTCTGCAAGCACTAGAGGATGCAGCGCTTCTGCACATTTCCACCCCCTGAAAGCCCATACCTGGCTGGCACTTGCTGCTTAAAACCACGGGGAAAAACGGTCCCTGCAGTGTGTTCGCCGGCCTGCGCCAACGGGGGTGTCTGCAGCGGACCCGCAAACTGCACCTGTACCACGGGCTGGAGCGGCGCGTCTTGCGAGACCCCTGGTGAGCTGCGGCTAGCAGTAGCTTGCTGCAACCCAGCTCGCTCGGACAAATTTGTGTTGCCTCTTCATTCCCCTCTCCCCTCCTCTCTCTCCCCCTCTTCCCCTCGTCCCCCTTCTCTTCCTCTGTGCTCCTTCCTCCCTCACCTCTTTTCCTCCGCTGTCCCCTTCTTCCCCGCCTCTCTCCCCTTCCTGCATTCCCTTGACTCAACCACCTCCTGATGGCACATGTGCCTGTCCTCCTGCCCTGCAGTCTGCCCGGCACAAACCGTCATCAAGGCCGGCACCGCGGACACGTGCGTGGAGTGCAACAGCGCTCCGGACTGCGCCGCCGCCGGTTTCACCTCCCTTGTCAACGTCACCTGCAGCCCCGGCAACAACACCTGCGGCTGCGAGGCCGGCTACCACGCCACCCTCACCCAGAACGGCACCGCCCGGCAGTGCGACGTCGACTGCCCCGCCGGCATGGTCCCGGCCTCCAGCGGCCCCAATGCGTGCGTCTTCGCGTGCGACCAGGTGTCGGACTGCGCTGCGGCGTTCCCCGGCGGCCTTGCGCACGCGCAGTGCGCCTCTGACGGCACGTGCGGGTGCGCTGCTCCATACGTGGTGAAGGACGGCCCCAGCAGCAGGAAGTGTGCGGAGTGCAATCAGGTGAGCTGGCCGCCTGCTGGGATTGTGTGCTTATGTGCCGCGGCATGCTGGCGGCTGCAGGTCACGTGTTCCTTCACTGACCTGTTTGGCAGCTAGGTTAGCTTGAAGCCACATGACCAACAGTGATTGCACAACACAGCCAGGGCCGTCTGTCTTGCTCGTTGCGGCAGACTCTCCGCACGCAGGCTTGTGTTGCCAACACACACAGAGCATCCTGCCCGCCCACCCGGCCACCTCTACCGCTCCCCCCGCTGACAACCCCGCGCTCATGAGCCCAGGTGTCAGACTGTGCAGCTTTCGGCTTCACCGACCTGACCAACGCCGAGTGCAGCAGCGGCGGCACGTGCCAGTGCTCTGCCGGATCGAGCCAGAACTCCACCGGCCAGTGCGCCCGCACATACCCCATGTACATCACAAACGACGCCGCCGTGATGGGCACGGCAGCGGTGACCGTGTGCAGGTGCGCTCGCGCGGCGCTCAGCGAGCAGTGCTCGCCGCAGCGCTATACTGCCTGCCCTGAGTCGAAATGCCCAGGCCGGACGACCACCAAACATGTCCGCCTCTCCTTCCTTCTCGCGACACCACCCGATGAAAGGCACCTGGGAGGCCCTAATTCTTGTCTACGGTGCAGCTCTGAGGAC